TCCTTCTTCACGATTGTAATTCAAGAGATCGAGAACGATCTGTACGAGTCCACATGATATACTACGATTTGATGGGATGCGATAGCTTATCACAAAGACCTGAGATCATTCTTGTTTGAGGGTGCGGTATGGGTTGAAAGTTGAGGAAGGGGCCTGATTCAGTTAACATTTATTAATAACAAAAAAATTACGCTAAATACCACGCAAATAAAACATCTTCAAGAATTTTCCGTGCAGGTCATGTAAGACTAAACCATATTTCCTAACCGATTAAAAGTGTACTGTTGTTACCCTCTTTTTAAAACGAAACTTGATTTAAATTCCTGGATCATTCACATAGAATCGGTCCAGGACTGACAAAGCGAAAGGGTTACGGTAGTGTTAAAGGTTCATTAAGCTGAATGAGAACTTCCACTATGGCCCTGTTTCTGCGCATTTCTAATCATTGATCCCAAAATGTTGTAATTAACTTGCTTGTAGCCATCGCTTCTGGTTTTAACAGCAAATTAAGGGATAGAGCTTTTCCACATCTTGTGCTATTACTCCACGGCCCCGGCCATTTAACCCGAACTGTTGTCTAGCATAATTGTTCCATTCCCAACTCACCCCTTGAAGGCAAACATTGTCGTATTCAGAGTGAGGCAGAGTAGTTATATTTTGTTTCAGCCGCAGATCACTCATAAGATAAGCAAAGGTTGCCCCAGCTGCTCCGACAGCAGCGCCAACAAACTGTTCCAAGCCGCCTCCACCCTCTCTTTTTCTCTCGGGAGCATTTTGTAACTCGACAATCTGCTGTGATTGTCTTTCTACATCTTCTTGAAGCTTTTTATTTTGAATTTGCAATTGCTGGCGCTTTTCTGTTTCGTGGCTGAGCACCTCCTCTTTTTCCTCTATTTCTTTTTCCCATTTTTCGCGCTTGACCTCCATTTCGGTTTCTATCGCCACCCGTAGCTTCTTCTGTTTTTCCACTTCTCGCTCTTTTTCTTCCATTTCTTCTGCATTTTTCTTTGCTGCAAGCAATTTTTCTTTCGCTAACTCGACTTCATCTTCCAAGGGGCACTTTGTCTGGAATTGTGCCAATGCATCCGGCAAATGAAGACCAATTTCTCTTGCTTCTTCAACCAGGACAGGGCCAATAATCTCGTCATACGCTTTCGCGCAAATTTGTCCCTCCAACATACGATAGGCATTGTTAAAAATCATCCAGCTCTCATTATTCATAGTGTGATAAAGTTCCTTCATGAATGCTGCCAGAAATTCCCCATCCATTACACGATCACCAGTTAAAGTTTTCTTCGGTGGAATCTGTTTGAATTGCTCAACAAGAGACAAGATTACTTTATGGAAATCACTTTTCTCTAATTGCCTCATGTTTTTTAATATTGAAGTATCATGGAGGTAAGGTATTTGATTCGCAGAAATTTTTTCTCTTGAGAAGTATTTTCTGATGGTACTTCTCTCCTCTTCATTTCCGTCATTTTTGTCGAAGCCTAGGATAAAATCCTGAATGTATTCCTCCAGTGTATACCCCGGTGGGGTTTTTAGTACCCCTCTCACTACCATACCCAGGTGTGGAAAATTTTTTAATGTTCCTTCCGGGAATATCATTTCACTGTTTCGCGAGATGAAATACAGGAAGTCCAAAACGTTATTTTTCACCAAATCATCGGCGAATATATGAACTGCTGACGAGACAAGGGCAGTAAACATGCTTAGATGGGCCGTAACGTCATCATCTCCTACATTCAGGCCTTCTACGTCCAACAAAATTACGTTTAACTTGCTGCCTTGCAGGCTCTTGGAGGGAATGATGGAAGCCCAAACCCCGTGCGTGACTGGGATAAGTGTATCTCCAGTCAAGAAGGTCGCTTGAAATACTTTCAAGCTGTTTCCGTTATTCCAAAAGTGTCGAACAAGGTTCCACGTTGATGACTTTCCGATTCGTGCGTCTCCGATAGCGCTCAGTACGACAATGGGCCCTTGAAGCTTGGAAATGTCGACCAAACAACGCGAATTTAGGACAAATTGCTTCGTTTCAGAGTTGTACTTCAAGAGTTGTTGAGCCTTGTGAAGTTTGGAAATATCTCCCAAAGAACTTGGCAGGGTACAAACCACAAGAAAAGCAAACATACTGGTTCGCAGCAAAGCCATCTTGTCAATACTGGGTTGCTGAAATAGATGACGCGGGTAAAAATGGAACTTAAACTTTGAGGTCGATGGGTCTCAGTGTGGAGGGGGAAACCCCTCAATCCACGAAAGCCTGCATGTGACACGTGACAATATCATGATTAACATAAGAATACCTTTCATTTTGATGTCTAGTGGTAGCTGCTGACCTTACCAAGTTTTTCTTTTGTAAAACGTCTTTGAAAAAATTGAAGCACCGACAGAAAATGTATATGATTTGTTTAGTAGGTCGGTTTCAGTTTGGCATCGCTCCACGACAAACCTAAAACAGAGGTGAAGCAATTTTGTTCTAAGTGCAGTATCATTTTGGAACATATGTCAGGAATGAGTGTTTTAAGTAAAAAACCTGGTCGAAAAACTTTAAAATAGGGAGAGATTAGCTGTAAAATTGAAAGAACTGAAAATAAATTTGATAGCTGGAAAGGGAAAACCCCTCTTTCCGTGAAATTGAGAGGGAAAACCCCGCTTTAGAGAAATGAAGTGGGACGAGACAAAGAAAAAGAAAAGGTAAGGTAATTTTGTTTTAAGTGCGTTTTTATTTGGGAACTAGTGTCTGAGGTCAAACGTAAAGTAATAGAAACAAATTTACGCGAGAAACCTTGAGAGCGGAAGAGATAAAAACTGAAAATAAATATGATAGCTGGAAAGGGAAAAAACCACTCTTTCCACGAAATTAAGGAGGTCGAGACAATGGTATCAAACAACAAACATATGAAATACATGTATTCGTGCACATATCGTGTCGGATCACATATCGCACATACAGCACATATCGTGTCGGATCACATATCGGATCACATATCGCACATATCGCGTCGGATCGTGCACATATACGAGACAATGGTATCTTTATAAAAAATAGAATGATAACAATAAATTAACGACGATTATGTTGGACTGTTGAGATAAACTAGCTCGAGCAGCACGCGCAAACGGGAGGCATCACTGTCTGTCTCTCTCCCTTTTCAGCGCTAAGTACACGCTCTTAAACATTCTATATAAACCTAACCCTTAAATAACGGTTGGCATGTTTGAGGACAACTGACTTCGGTAGAGTGAACATATTTTTAGAAAACTAACCCAAACAATTTCACATGACATTCCAAAAGTAAAACAAAGTAGTTGGAAAAAAAAAAAAAAAACATCTTCGATAACTAAAACCTAAACAAAGCTTCCCATTGAGGACTCTTAAGCAAGGCCAAGGACAAACTCAAACACGTCACGCGATGACGATTATCGCGCGATGATTAAGCCCACTCAAAACTGAGGTAAAAATAAATGTGTGGTCTCGCAGCAAATGACAAACCAATGCTCACAAGACTCTCATACGGATTTCAAGATAATCTAACAGGCTTAAACAATAGTCCCAAACACCAACCAGAATATTTCTAATTTCAATAGTTCCCAAACACTTCTAAATTTAGTAAGCTTTAGTAGTTTATAACAATAGTAACATCGTGAAGGAAAGATTTTCCAACATTTCACTGATTACACACAGGGAGGATTTTATTTGCAGATGGCACCGATATGATAGAACACTGAGGTCACGAATTAAGCATAACATCAATCGATTATTGTTAGAATTTCCTCATCAAGTAATAAATTTTCCCATAATGTTAATCAGCTGAGGGTAAAAGATGACTGTACTGAAGCGCTGTCGATTCGACCAGAATTTTCAAAATTCCAGTACGAAATTTACGTTTTGAACTTGTCATTGTATCCGGAAATTTTCTCTTCCATTTACGATTTAATTTTTATTCCTACAGATACTCTTTTTAAGGCAGTGGGAGATAAACTATCCGTGCATGACTTTTGAATATCCTGTTCGAAAGCTACGAAGATGTTTTTACGAGCGCTATCGTGAAAACGGCTACATTCCACACAGTTTACTTTTTGACCTCCCGCACGTGATTTAAGAGTCCTAAGACCCGTTTTATTTGACACCAAAATTTCTTCAACCTCAAAGCAAGGTATTTTGTTAAAAGCGCCGTTGATAGGAGAATAGTGATGCGAAGGACTAGGGGTTTAACAGGACTTTATGGACCTGAACTCGACGTGATAGTCTCGATCCCAACCGACATCAAATGTTGACATTCATAGCCCATAAAATCACGGATGCTAGATCGCTAGATTATGAAAGCAAAAAAACACACCTATGTTTCGTTATCTTGGGTAAGTTTCAACTGCCAAATCACTATTTTCGCATATATACTGCCGAAGGGGGCATGCACCGCAGTTATACAAACACAGATCATTTCTCCAATGATGCGTTGACACAAACGTCATTGGAATGTGCTTGTCCTTTGTACTGGAAGAAAAAGTCCTCAGAGAGATCAAATTTTGAGTTGTAGTCATAACATGAGGAAGGAAAAACCTGAAGACTAAGATGGTTTTACTTCGAAGGGGGTCAAAGTAAGGTTTCCGGCATCTCATAAAAGGCCACGCAAGCGGAAATGATCGATCACGTAGCTTCATTAGAAATCCTGATAAACACGAAAGGAAACAAAGCAAACCTTATGCAACAACCAACCTACACTACGAGTAGTCTCTCCTTTTTGCGAGCAGTCCCTACTTTTTCGTTGAAGTCCGTCGCGCGAGTCGAAAAAAAAAAAAAAACGGTGAAAAAAATTGCTCTTAGCTTGCCGCGGGGAACTCTTAAAGTAACGCCAATGCACCGCAGGAGCTCCATGAGTGAGGCGCTCGAAAAGTAGGCCGGGACAAGTATGACCGCTTGTTGACAGATTTCTAGCCGGTAGCCAATCATATCCTTACGTTGTGATCACATCGCATAATTCAAACTCTTGGGCTCGTAGTCCTTATTACGGGAGCTCCATGAATGAGGCGCTCATAGCGCACCGACATCAATTCTTTTTCACTGATTTATTTTTTGACTCCCACGACGGACCTCGCCGAATAGGAGGGACTTCTCGTAGTCTACAACTTACCATGCAAGGTCCTCGGATGTGGTATCAGTTTTTCTTGGCTTTACAGTATGCGCTGCAAGGTATATTATATGGCCTTCAACTAAGATATCTTCCCATAATTCTGCGCAAATCTGGATCGTCGCTTCTTCTCGTGGGATCGCTGAATCTGTTGACGTTTCCTTGGCTTTTAAAATCTCTGTGGGCACCGATTATCGATGCATACGGAAACAAAACCTTTTGGCTCTCGATAAGCTATGCTGGAACTGCGCTTGCACTTCTACTGGCAAGGGTTGACAATAGAATTATTTTTATTTCCTCACTGGTATTACTTAATCTATTCTCTGCGACGGTTGATTTGACTCTCGGCAAAATACTGATATCAAAATTTCATGGAGACCAACTGTCAAATGCAAGTTCTCTTCAGATTATTGGCTACAAAGTTGGCTTTTTAATAGGAGGCGGTCTGACCCTATTGGCTGCGGAGTATTTCTTAATGGGAAAAAAAATATTCGTTGTCCTTGCGATCTTATATTTCTTTCTGATGGTGACACTTTTTGTCACGAAAAGCTACGTGACACCGGACGTTTGTCCTGAACCGGAAACATCGCGTTACTCAGGAAGCACACGGATGAGTGGGTTTTCGTGCACACCAGGTTTGCAATGGATGATAGCGTGCGCGTGTATATATAAATATGCGTCGCATTCTTCACAGTCAATATTCACCATGTTTCTGGTAGATACTGGTGAGAGTCTGGGCCGTATCGGATTCCTGTCTGGAATGGTTGGGCAGGGTATCTCAATAACTGTTGCTTCTGTTTGGGGAGTGGCTCTGTCTGCAAAACGGTAAGATGAAAGTGATTTGTAGATGTTCTATTCCTTATTTTTAAAATAAACTCACCATAAAAGATAAAGACTGAAAATTAAAAGCAGCCTTTCTTTGGTAACCTTACGAACGTTCACCTCGTCAGGTGCTTTTGGTCAGTGCAACGCTTCGCTCTTCCCTTAAAAATATCAATGTATGGGAACCCTATCTCAATTTTCTAAGGGAGGAGGCCACTGTACGCAAGCTGGGTGTTTTTTGTATACGAAGATTTGTTATTTTACTTTGAACGATTCAGACATGTTTATGCCCGGTGGTAATGACATTCTCCAGTCGCGCAAATTATGAAGGCCGAACAACAGCATAATTTATCAAAAGACAACAAATTTGGATGGAGAAGGTGCACAAATGTTAACCTTGATCTTTAATTTTGAAGCCTTTAGATATTTGGTAGTAAAGTTGGACCCTTTTGTTTTCACTTTTGTCTAATTTTAGGATACTCCCTACGCAGCTTCTCATTCTGACGTCCTTGTTATCTGTTTGTTCAGTTGTCGCTCAGCTTTGTGCTGTCTGGTTGAATGATACAAAGTTCATAGCTATTGGTGAGTGTTAAATCCAGAGAAAGTGTGAGAAGGACTCAAGTGCGGTGATGCGTTACTTGAGCTATTGCCAAATTACTCGCATTGTTTTGCTTATTAGTAAGTCACGTGGTGTAGCAGACACGCAATGTTTTTCGGGGCGTCCGCGTTCCTTCAGGTAGGTTTCGTGGGCGCACCGAAAACCCCACAGCTGAGGAGTACAGCTGTCAAACGTAAGGCTTGTGTGTACGTGGAAACGACTAAGAGGCAGGCTCACATCTTGTTTTGAGGGCAAAACCCCAGCGTTATTTGTGATCACTTATTGTTTATCTGAGTTTTTTGTTGTTTACTTGCAGTATACCTGTTGCTCAGTGTGGTTCATGGCTCACAGGCCACTCCCGTCTATACACTCATGTTGCAATGTTCCCAGAATGCACCTCCGTCCGGGCGCACAACTTGTTATTCTTTCCTGGGTACATTGGAAATTCTTGGTAAACAATTGTCGTTGTTCATGGCAGGAGTCTTAACAGAGACATTGGGTTATGTAGCTGCATTGCACATCTCACTTGCAGTTTCCTTTTTTGTTGTTATTTTAGTTTGGCATTGTCCAAAATATCTTAAATACTCTTAAAAAAAGTTAATTTCCAAAAGCATTACAACCAAACGGAAATGGTGAAATCGTTGAATTGAAAAAGTGGAGCACTCGTTCGATTATCAGTTTTAGTTGAGCTCTTTCATGTAGTAAAATCAAATGACAAACGTCAAACATCGAGTTAAGAGTCCACATGTTTTACCTTTTTTCGAATGAGGGAATTTTTATTTCTCCATTGGTCATGAAGTGTCCTTCATGACCAACAAAAAAAATTTCTTTTTCACTTTAAAACTCAACGCTTAAAAGGTCAAACCTGAATGATGTAAAAAAAACCTAGGTTTGGATCCCTAAGCGCGCACCTTTCCTGCTCCATTTTCCGTCCAGTTCTACGAAATAACACCAGAAACATCCAGGATAAGAAAGAAATTCAAATAGAACAAACGACGAAAAACAACAGCAGAAGGAGACGAAAACACCAAATTAGTTGCATCAAATTTAAACTTAATTTTTAATCTTTATGATTATGAGCAACAATTAATATGGATCAACTGCTTATCAACCTTGCTTCATTCCTGATCAGCTGTTTTGGTACAGTTACAAGAAATGAAATCTTGAACTTGGCGAACAAAGCGAAGAAACTCAGGCAATTCGGCACAGATTATTTCTGGCTCCCAATCTTCTTCGCTGAGAAGCTGATCCCATTTTTCACAATGAAGGTGAATATCCGTCTAAAAGAATGAATGATTCCAAAGAAACGAAAAACAAAAAGAAATTAGGAAAAACACAATTTTTTCAAAAATTATCGAACTACGTAGTTAACGACTAGGCTATTAAAGATGACAAAAATTAACGCCAATTAAAAAGACTTTATAAAACATTCGCGTTAATTTGGTGAAGAGCAAATTTTCCAAACCCCTTCCCAACCCAGCAACAGTCAACTGGTGACAAGTAAGGGCTACTGTGGATTAGGGGAGGGGCGGTTGCGCAGTTACTCCGATACCGGCAATGATCCAGTTTTCACATTACAAAGGATTAAATTATTGACTCTCGATTACTATGCCTGATAAGTGATTCAGAGGAATGGGAGCGAATGATTTTCTCGTTTTAGTAAAAAATCTACAAGTCGTTCAAAACCTAGCAACAAGAGAGGATCATGTTTGGATTTCATTTTGTTTACAACCGCACTCAGAGTCTATCATGGAATAGATAGCGAGGAACGTAACCAATCAGAGTAAAGTATTTGTGATAGAACACTAAACTTAAAGTAAAATAAGACACATACTATGGCTGAGTTGTCAAAAGAACTTTCCTACCGTTACTCTGTTTTCCTCATCCCTGAGATCACTACACCAGGATCTTTCATTAGAGACAATCATGGAAAATCCAGGCTGGGGGGTTAACAAAGTCCGGCGGGAGCATCTCCAATGAGTGTGGTTAAACTCCTGGGGTAATTTCTCATCTGCTGGTAGGCGTAACCCGTCGGCATCGGTAAATGTTAACTTAGAGAGATATTTTGATATAAGGCGTGTCTCTTCTTTCTCGCACACAAGGTTGCTGTCTGCTACTAAATCATCTGAGAAAAAAAAGATAAATTGAATATTCATAAATATGTTAGCTTTGAATTCACTAACTCACCCACTCGCCTATTACTGACTCACTTTTAGCTTAATGAATAAAGTGATTTTACGTAAGTTTTAAGCATTAAACGGCCATCTTGCGTGCCCAAAATGCATTCCATTTATTTGGCTCTTGCGAAGCGAAACTTGACTGTTGACCCAATAAATCGACCAAAATATCGACCTAGGTATAATTTCGTACTTCTATACAATCGCAACAAGAGGGGGAGATATAAATGACATGCATATGTTTGTTGGTGTTGCATTCATTCACCTATACATTAACTTACTCACCTATCCACCTCATTTATCCTTGTTCAGTTAGTCTGTCATTTAATTAGTCTGTCAGTCAGTCGGTCAGTGAATGAGTCTGTCAGTGAGTCAGTCAGTCAGTCGGTGAATCAATCTGTCAGTGAATCAGTCTCTCAGTGAATCGGTCAATCGGTCAGACAGTCAGTGAGTCAGTCTGTCAGTGAATTAGTCAGTCAGTCAGCAAGTGAATAAGTCAGTCAGTGAATCAGTCAGTCAGCCATTCGGTTTTTCAATCAGTCACTCACTCACATAATCAGTTATGCACATAACCAATATGACACACAGACTTCTGGAATGGAGGTATCAGACCTTTCGGAAACTCACCCGTAAGTGCACGCAAGGTTATCCTGCAATCGATGTCTGAACCGGGAAATATGATGTTAACCTGGATAATTTTTTTGGATTGTAAAACCAGCCACCCTCGACATCTCGCCCTAGTGGGCTCATCTTCAAACCGCAATTCTTCAACAATATTTTTCAGGTCATGGAAAGGAATTGGTATTTCTTCAAGTTTCTTTCCCACATCTTTATTTACTACCCACACCTAAGAAAAAAAAATTATGGATACCCTCAACTGCAATATGTTTGCCTTAAAACGTTGTTATAAGAAAAATCCAAAGTAAAAAAGTGCAAAATAGCCAAATATGAATAATTGAGAGAATGCAAATTTTCATACTAAATCTCAGATATTGTAGATGTCCAACAAATTACAAAAATGCTAAATGAACAATTTTGAAATCAATGTAAATGAGCGTTAATCAGTGTTAAAAGTGTATGTTTCCGAGCTGTTAAGAACCTGAGAAGGAAATTAACATGCTAAGTAATCCTCATTTG